ACTTGCTTCTTCAATAAATCTTCTTTATTAAAAAAGAAAACCAAAAAAAGTATTAGATTTGCATTTTTCCTTTCAGAAATACAGAGGAAGCTGTGATAGAAAATAAATAAAATAAAATAAAATAAAATAAAATAAAATAAAATAAAATAAAATAAAATAAAATAAAATAAAGGAACAATTTCTGTACTGGTAATATCCTGTTTGGTCAGCACAGACAACATTTGTACTATTCCTCTCCCCCACCATGATGCCACCAACTGCTTGTGATGAGATTCTCGTGTAGGACATGGGCCACACTGAGCAGGAGGGTCTAAGGAGGCTGTGGTCATAGAATCATGGAATCACGGAATAATATGTCAATTTGGAAGGGACACACAAGGATCATTGAGTCCAACCCCTGGCTCCACACAGCACCACCCAAAATCCAAAACCTATGTCTGACAGCCCTGTCCAGATGCTCCTTGAACTCCTGCAGCTTTGGGCTGTGCCCACTATCCTGGGGAGCCTGTTCTATGCCCTCTGCCTTCTGGTAAAGAACCTTTTCCAAAAACCATCCCACCCCTTCCCTGACACAGCTCCGTGCTGTTCCCTCGGGTCCTGTGGATGTCACCAGAGAGCAAAGCTCAGTGCTGCCCCTCCTCTCCCTGTGAGGAGCTATAGGCCTCCCCTCAGCCTCCTCTGCTCTGGGCTGAACAAACCAAGTGGCTTCGGCTGCTCCTTATATGCCTTGCCTTCCAGATCCTTCATCATCTTTATAGCACTCCTTTGGACATTCTCTAATAGTTTTATGTCCTTTTTGTATTGTGGCTCCCAAAACCACACATGATGCTCAAGATGAAGGACAGAGTAGAGCTGGTCTTCCTGAGATACTTTGGGAATAGGCCCCAGCAGGTGATGGCCCAGCACCATGAAACTCCTTGCTCTGGCAGAAGGTGCATTTGCCATTGGTGACAATGCCACAGCAATGTGAATAAACAGACTTAGGGTGAGGGTGGCAATTGTTTTGCTGGGTCTTGTGGGCTTCAGCTCCTCAAGTACAGAACTCTGCTTGTCAAACTAGGTCATTCTAAAACCCACTTCTGACATGCTTCTTGGTGAAACACAAGACCTTAATGCAGCAGAATGCTTTCACTTTGTGTCCTCTTGAACGAAGGGTTGGTCAAGGGACAATATAAATATACCCTTAAATGTTTTGATACAAACAAAAGGACTACTTAATTGGGGCAGGAACCTGTGATGACCAACAGGGAAGGTGTTGCAGTGACTGCTCTACTTTGCCATTAGGAGGAATCTGCATTCATAGTGCAAGGCATCAGAGTTGGCTCATTTACTTGCCAGGGTGTTGCAAAGCCTAGATTGTACCAGCAGGAGCCCCATGGGCGAACAATTTCCAGTTTCAACCCATGCATCAACCCTGGGGATGCAGCAAACCTCCATAGTTCTGAAGGCCTTCTTCACTGTATTTGTTCATGATGTGTGTTAATCAGTGATAATCACAGAACAGCACGTCTTCCACTTAGTACAGAAGAGGCAGATCTGATGACTTTTGTCTGCTGGCTGCAGCTTTCATCTCCCTGACCTGTCACTGGGATACAGGCAAAGTTCTCTCAGTCAAGAACATAATTTGCAATGGTTTTGAGTAAAGGCATTGAAGTCAGTGAAAGTGGGGAAAGCCTAAAGCTTGGGTAACTATTAGCAGAACTCTTGCAGAATGTTCTGTAGAAGAGTCAATTCTGGCTGTTATCTTCCATGTTTTAAAGCAAGACATGATAAACCATAGGGAATTAATTTCATGTGATACAGATACATAAAACGAAGACTACTCTTCAGAGCTAGTTATTCCTTAGTATCTCTACTGAACTGCAGCTTTAAATGCAGCTCATTTGATAAAAGACTTTACAAATATACTTTATCACCGTTAGGTAGATCCTCCAAACGAAAGAATAATCAGCACAGTTTTTATTTTATGACAGAGCTGAATGCAGCATGACTAGCCCCAGTTTGTTCAAGTCACTACAATATTCAAGTAATTGAGAGGAGTTCAGCACCCAGAAGGTAAACTAGGACATGACCAGATGTTACACATCATTCTATTCATGCTTGGCTGTTATTAATGAAAAAATAATTTGAAGAAAACAACAGTTGAGCAATTTCATTAGCCCAAATCTGCCTGTAGGAATCATTGAAATGTGATGCTGACTTAGCAGTAATGCTTTTTTGGAGAGGAGCTCTTCACAGAGATCTGCATCTTATTTTTCCTCCGTCAGTTGTGTTGTGTGAACATCAGCCTTCTATTATCCAACAACTATTCAGATCCAGTAGCCTGTTAGCCACTGTGTTGAGGAAATGCAATTATTTTTTTTCTGTAAAATTGTGATAAGGACATACTTAGCTGAATTTTCTATGCATGTCATGAAATACATTGTTGGACTTTTGCTGTGACAGTGAACATTCACTCACTCAAGGAGGTTCACTGACACACCTCTTCAGGGCCTAGGTAGGCTTGTGATGTGGCCGTCAGAAGGGAAAATCCATGTTCTACCTTTTAAGCAAGCATATACTGTTTGGAATTGGATAAACCATAATGGTTCATCTTCAGGCTTGAAGAGACACTTTGAGGGCTGGAAATCCATATAAGAGAATTAAGGCAATTCAAAATACGAGGAGCTAATGATAATATGCACAGCAGCCTGCAAGTGTTTTTATTTATTGATGATATTCAGTATTTCCAGCAGCCTGCAAAGCTTCATGGCCAGTTACAGCTCATCTTTTGTTCTTGATGCACTATGTCAGGTAAAAGCAATCTGTGATCGTGGCAGCTATAGCTCTTTTTCAGAGAAATCCTGACTTCAGTTAAAGAATTGTTGACATTTGTCTTGGTTTGTCAGGAACAAAATCAATAGCATCTAATCAAACAGCGGTGTAATTTCGAGAGCAGAATGGATACTGCTTTAATTCAAAAAAAGACAAATTTATCAACAAAATGAACACGTCTAGTGCAAGATTTCTTATATCTGTCTAGTCAGAAAAAATCACAAGATCTCAAGTAGCTCCTCCTGTCTCTGACTGTCTCCAGACATTCAGGCTGCCTCTCTTCTTCTTGTATCACTCTTCCAGGGCCCCAAATTCAAGAGCACTCACTGCAAATTCATGACAATATTTGGCCCTGGATTTCTGATGCTGTCACTATTTCTTTCCTCGTGGAGAATGCCAAACTGAAATTTGCTGGAAGGGCTGGTTTCCAGCTCCCTGTGGATGTGTGTGTTGGAGACAGGTGCAAACAGAAATGTTGTGCCTTTCTGCATAAGTAGCTGTGGTTTTGTAACATTTTTCCTATCTATCTGCCACAGTCCCTTGTACCTCCCCTGGCAGTGTTTCCATGCTGCTATTCAAATGCAACATCTAGCATTAATGTGATTGGCATGAATTCATTCCTCATCTCTCCCTGCAATAAACCCAAGAACGGCAAATCAGCGATAATGATGGCAACCCTTTTGCAGGTTTATAGCTTTATTATTCAGAATGCTCTTACTGGGAAATGATCTCCTGCTGGTTTTACATGCAGAATAAGTACCTGCACCAGCTTTCACTCAGGGAGATCTGGTATTGCCACGCTGGCAGTGAAGGCCCTCCCACCTGCGTGTATCCTACGCATTGCCCAGCTCCGCAGGAAGCTGGTTGGCAGCCACGACTGAGCTTTGCCAGGAGCTTGTGGCACCCCTGCTCAGCCTTGGAGCTGTGCAAAAGGCTTCAAGAAGGAAGCTGGGCTTACAAGAACCTGCTGGTCCATCTGCCTCAATGCCTTTCTAGAAAAAAAAAAAAAAAAGGGGTGTGGGGAAAAGAAGGAATAATACAGCAGAAGCCTCTGTTGCAAATCTTCGGTGTTAATTTAGAGACCAGAGCAGAAGGCTTACACCTTTCTGTGCACAAAAAGCTTTGCCTGCAGCAAACAAACATAATGAAATTAGGGGATGCACTAGCAATAAGCAAGTGCTGGACACTCAGAGGAGCATGAGTGTTGTTTAACAAACTGAAGCGTATTTTTTCAATATTGACTGGTTGCTGATCATTTTCCTTCTAGCAGTGATGATAAACTCAGGATCAGTTTGTCAGTAATGCAGATTTTTAAATTATTAATAGAAATTTTAACTGCCACTGCCTTCAAATACCCTGGCCTCTCATTTATTTTTTAAAAAAAGTTTTAGATAAGATAGCTATCTGGCTTTCCTTCTCCTGTTGCATGTCTGTTTGTCATGTGTGCATATGTGCAGATATAGTGGTGCCAGAGCAGGTGTTACTCGGGGATGTATCCACACTGAAATTAATGTTTATTCTCAAAGCAGCTATTGTGCATCAGCTTGATTTCACTGTCCTGAACCAAGGACAGCACCTTTCTCCAACCTGTCATGAAGGTGCTTCTATGTGGTCCTCCCAGGTGAATCCTGTAACGGTCACCAGCCACATCATGGGGCACAACTCAAGACTTGGAGGGGACAATCATAAATCTGCATTTACATAAAAAGTAATTGTTCAGTCAGCTCATAGGCTGGCAGGTGACATGACTAGTAAAACAAATACTTATGATAATGAGTGTCATCTTGTTTAATTGCTTCTGTTCTAAATTCAGAGCAGCTGCACTACTGACACTAAGCCATTTTAAATACGTGGTCAAAGAAACCACTGCTGAGGACAACAGATACGTAAAACTATAGAGACAGCTTAGATACTTCAGAGTTTTTGTGCTCTTTTGTCTGTCCTCGGTCCCTCTGTCAATGACAATATTAATAGTATACTGTCACATGCTGAGGAAGCTTGGATGGTATAAAGGCACAAGAGTAATTATAAATGAAGTAAAAATGAGCATCCCAAAGTAGCGACAATAAGAAAACCAGAACTTTTGGAAAGCAGTGCATTTTATTCCCACATCTCATTCTGTAGTCTTCCACTGATGCTATAAAAATGCCTCTGCACGAGGCAGTATTTTTATTTTTGTGCAACAGTCTCTTTATTGAGGAAAAAAAAAAAAAAAAAGTTAACTGTGTTTGCCAAATTCCCATTTTAATTTAGGGAATGTAAATGTATAAATAGCATACAACATTATCACATTTTTCCTATACATGCAAACATACAACATGGTAACAGCAGCTTTTTTAACAGTTGAAACTGTTCAAATTTCCACAAGTTTCTAATGATACTTCCACAACAGTAAAAGGCAAAACACTGAACTCCTCCAGGAAGAAGTCTTGCGGTACAAATCCCGGCGGAGAGCTCTCTATAGCATGTGCCAAGGAAGCACAGTGTGCTACAGTGGGACTGGCAGTCAGGTGGCAAAAAGATCCTCATTTCTGTGGTTAAACAGCACTGAGCAGTAAGAACAGGTCAGAAATGCAGGTTTCTCTTCAGCCATCTGTACAGATTGCTACGTAGATGATACTGTAAAGAGTTCAGTAACACTGCAACTCTACATTACAGGCACAGCCTCATATAAGATGTATTTGAAAAATAACAAAAAAACCCATTGGCTCATAAACAATAAACAGTGCTTTTATTGAAAGATGCCTTATGGAGCTTGAGCAGAAAGTAAACATATTTCAGCAGTTGGTATTTCTCCACTCTGAAGCAGCAGCTATACACAAGTGTGATGTACACATCTCCGTGCCGCATCCCCACTACAGGCTGACTGCCTTCATTAACAGTCCCTTTCCAAATCCATGGGTGATACCAGGTCATCCAACTTCTGCACTCGTTTTGAAAAAATACTACTGTGCCCAACAGTTTCTATCTGTATTTGAATTGAACAAGAATCTACTTTTTCCCTAGAGACTAATTTTGTACATATGCCCTCCTGCGGAAATTGCTCACTGCTGATTTCAGAGCTGAATTCACCATTAGTGTGACTGTTTGACTGAAGAAGGCATTAGGGTAGGCACTGTTTAACTGGAGATGCAGGTATAGCTGGTTTATAGTTCAGTGGCTTAATAAATAATAATAAATAACAAAAACAACAACCACCACCACCAAAACAGTGACAAAAGCTTGATCCATCTCTTTTTTTCTCCAGGAAATGGTAACCACTTGTTTCAGTCTGTGGTCGATAGCTGGGGCACTCTCGGGATGATAAGGACTTGGGGTCAGACCTCTTCTCTGTGTGGCCCTGAGCATAGGCATGACCCAAAGACTGCTGCCTCCCAAAGGGCTTCCCCAGGCTAAGAAATACTCAGACACTTGTTTCCTCTGTCTTACCTGCTACAGGTATTTGGTACAAATTATGAGCATATTGCTTAGACGATCCACTGGAGATCATGCTTCCTGCTTCCCATATGAGCCCTTGAGCACTTGAGGCTGAGCTCCAGCTTTACCCCTCGCAGCACAAGGAAGCACTGAGAACAGAGGGGCACAGCTTCCCCCAAAGACCCAGGTGTTCCAGTGCCAAGTGTGCTGTGCAGACCTGGCCCGGAGTACGATCTGCCAGAGCTCCCTGCCTGCATCCACAGGACACTGCAGCCACACAATGACACAGCCCAGCAGTCAGGTCACGACAGAACTGCCCTTCCAAAGAAGCTCTGGGAGCCCTGGTGTGGGTGTGGGCAGAGATGATCCCCACATCTCTGCTGTAGTCTGCACCCAGGTTCAGGCGCAGGCTGAGATCTGCCCGACTCTACAGTATAAAAGTGAGAGCCCAAGGCACACTTTCTCCCTGTATTTTTTTTTAATAGCCTTCCCAAGTCAAATCAATACAACCCAATAATTCCAAACTATTGTATTTCGGTCAAGCTAATCTTCCCAATGCTACATGTAGTCAAAGCTCACAGGCAAATGTCCTTCTTCTGCTGACTAAAGCTCCTCAAAAGTTCAGATCCAGTTCTGCTCTCCTGCACGTGCAAGATTGAAGCATTTCCACTGAAGACACAAACCACATAACATGAAGCTGGACCATGGCCCAGCCTGGTCGCAGAATCAGAGTGAATTTCAATTCTTCACCTAGGTGGGTGATCGTACATGGATACAATTCAACTAGCACAGCCTCTAGCTCTGTTGCAATCATAGTGACACAGAAGAGCACATACAAGTACAGTTAATAGGAACTTACAAATTGCAGGAATACACTTGTACAGAGTACGTAGAATTGGATGGATAAAGAATTACATCAACAGAGCCTCAAGCTACAGGCTACCGCCGGCACTGCTTTCAACCTAGTGGCACTGATACCCCTCATGGTCATCTCACGGCTTGCCATTACCCAACTCTGTATGTATCCACAGCAAAGGACTTGGTACCTTAGCTGTGGCAGGTCTAAATGGATGTACTGAAAGCAGTTAAATGCGAGCAGAAAGCATGAGCAAACCCTGACCTTTTGCTTTTTGACAATGAGGTAAAGTTATCCTAAATGACTTGGATTTGTCAGCATTGATGTGGAAATGTATGCTCTGCCTCTCCCTCTGTACATAGAACCCAGCTGTCTGTCCTCAAGCAACATGTTCTGTGGGGTTTTCACACCTGCTTTTCAAGGGCTCGGTAGCTCTTCATTTTCTATCAAATAATCCTTCTTTATGTAATTAGCACCCCTCACCAACCTCCATACTCCAAGATAGGCATCCTTCAGCGAGCTCCTGCTCCCATCTTGTGTGCTGGTGGCTTTTCCCTGAGCCGATGGCTCCCCAGCAGCTTTCTTGGTGCTGTCCTTCTCGTCCTCTCCACCCTGGCTGTCCCCTTCAGCTGATCCTTCCACCGCTGCTTCCCTATCCCCCTTCTCTGGGGAAATTGCCTCCATTGCAAACAGTGCTTGGTCCCCAGCCTGCCTTTTCCCCTCCTCTTCTCTACCTTCCTTCTCCAGGTCTTCGTATGTGCTCTGCTGCCTGGTCTCGATGTACTTGGCCACGCAGTAAATGACCGACCCCAAGGTGTTGACCACCACACCAGCTATGAACAACTTGGTGGGCTCCACATCATTGAATGCCACCATGCCCACCGTGATGGTTGCTATGCTTTTCACCACCCCTACAAAGCTGGTGGTTACAGCTGAGTTAATATAAGTGCAGTGAAGAGTGGTAAAGTTCATGGCGCAGCTGATCAGGACACAGGCGATGAAGATGCATACCATAGCAGGGTCCTTCCAGCCCGGGAATGACCAGACATTGATGGAGTCCATGCTGGCAAAGGAGCAGATGATGAGAAAAGGGGTGGCTGAAACAGCAATGGCATACTGAGCTGTCAGGGGTCCATATTCACTGTCAACGCTGGTCTTCTGAATGAGCACCAGGTATGCGGCATGGATCAGCACAGCCAGTACGCCGGTCACGTAGCCCATGGCATCTCCAGTCAGGTCACCAGCACCTGTTGGGTGGATTTTGCAGATAAGATGGAAAGAGAGCATCGTTTTGGAGGGAGAGGATATTTAGAAAAGATATGTCAGTGCACAGTTCCTCAGATTTGTTATGCTTGTCCCAGAGCTTGATGTGCTTACCTCCTGATAGACTTTTCTGCCAGATTACTGAATGTTTTTCACTTCTCTGTACACCCCCGGCTCCAATCAATTCACTCACCTTCTCCCTTTGGCAAGAACACTGTGAGATTTTGCAGCTGAAACAGCTCAGACACGGTCGCTCTGGGTACCCTCTGCCAGCACAGGTGCTGGGCAGCTCGGTCTGCTGTGGCTGCCTGACTTCCAACCGCGAATCTTCTTTCCACCCCCCTGCCAACCCGGCAAGCCCGCGGGGGTCCCACAGCCACGGCGCCTTGCTCGGGCTGCTCGGCAGATGAAGCTGCCTGCCTCAAACCCAGTGACACCAATCACAACGACAGGACCCCAGTAGGCTTGCAGCCGATTCGTAAAGTTGCACCTATTCCTGTAAGACTGCGCTTACTCCTCTTGGACTGCAGCTGGCCCCACGCAATTGCCCCCAGGATATTAAAGCTCCCGCCGTAAGGCTGCACGCACCCCTCTACGGTCGCACCTCCCTCCATAGAGCTGCATCCGAAGCGGCACTCACGCTCGCTTCGTTGCCCCATCCTGCCGTGCCGGGGCGAAGAGTCTCCGAGAGCGGAGGCGGCGCTGCCGTCGGGGCGCCCCGCGGCGCAGCTGCCCGCTCGTCGCGCTGCATCCCTGTCCCGCTCCGCTCCCCCCCGTCCCGTCTCGGCGGGGCGGGTACTCACCGGCCAGCGCGGCGCCGCATGTGGTGATGAGGACGGCCACCAGGACGCCGGGCGAAGGCATGCCGTCGCGCAGCACCAGGACGCCGGTGAGGAGGGTGACGAGGGGCAGGCAACGCTTGAAGACGACATACATAGGGAGGCTGAGGCCGCGCAGCGACCAGAGCGTGAGGGTGGACTGCAGCGTGGCCAGGGCGGCCACGGCGGCGAAGGGGCGAGCCAGGCGGAGCCCGAAGGGGGGCAGCGCAGCCAGTCCCCGCCGCCGCAGCGCCTCCAGCCCCAGCGCCGCCGCCGCGCTACTGAGGCACTGCAGTAGCGTCAAGAAGGCGAAGTGGTAGCGGGCTAGCAAGAACTTGAGCAGGATGTTCAACGAGCCCGAGCACAGCCCGTGCGCCACCGCCACCGCGACGCCCCGCGCCCGGCCCCGCCACCGGACCATCCTCCCGCGCCCGGGGCCAGCGGCACTGCCGCCCGCCCGGGCACCCGCGGCGGCGGCGTGGGGACGGGCGGAGGCGGGGGGCGGGCGGAGGCAGGACGCGCCGACGGGCCCCCCCGCGCGGCCCCCCGCTGTCCCCTCCCCGCCGCCGCCCCCGCCGCACGCCCCGGCGGAGCGACATGGGGAGTCCCCGGCCCGGGAGGGGAAGGGAAGGGCGCATCGCCGGGGGGCGCGGCCGGCAGCCTCCAGCCGGGGGCCGTCCTCGCACGGACGCCAGAACCGGTGGCGGCACGAAGCGATGCGCTGAGCCTGGTAAAGTTTGCGTAAGCTCATCCCGAATTGTCGGGCGAAGGGTTTCCAGGAGTCTGAAGCTTCGCATTGAATCGACGGGAAGGCAAAAGCAGCTGCGGTCTGGCAGCGTTCTGCCGGCCTCCTCCAGCGCCGGGGGACGTAGGGAAACCTGCGCTGCTGCATAATCTTGTGCCTCCTATACACCATGACGGCAGGTTGCTTTCATAAGCAGTAAGGCTGCTCATCACTGATCTACACGGGATCAGCAAAGTTATTCTCTCTTTTAAACAAATAGGCCTCCCCCCTCTCTCAAGAGGAATTATGTTATGAAGAACCAGCTTGGGTGAGAATGGCAGAATTGCCACTGCATGCTTGTTCTTGGAAGACGCCCTATAAAGAGTAGGCCAGGTCCCAGCAGGACAGTCAGTTCTGGTGGGAAGGTACCCAGTCCAGCACAAGCACAGCGCATCTTTCAGCTGTATCAGAAAAACACCACTGTCTTATGCCAAGAAGAATGTTACGTTTCAGTCCTAGCTCAGTTCAAAGAGCCCACTGGACATAAGCACAGGTGCCATCAGGGTGCTGGCAGGTTGAGGCTGTGCCAGCCAAGGATAGGACGGAGCAGGCCTCAGCAGCTCCTCCCAAACAAAATGGCGGTTCAGCCACCACTTCCTCCTGGCCGCTCCCCTCAGAGGCCTTCACCAGCTTCGGGCACCGCACTGCAGCATGAAGTGTGAATGCACAGCAAAGTGGCCTGAAACATTACAGCATATAAAATTTGAAACTCTTCATTAAAAGTCACGGGAGGCCAAGCCTGGCTTTAAAACGCACTGAAGAACAGTGCCAACACATTTCATGCTGGTCTCCTTTTGGACTCATCCCAAGGCTCACAGGGAGCACAATTTAAAGAAGCACATGGATTGCTGACTGCATTTGCAAATGGGAAGAAAACAATCTCCTTCTAACTAAATGTAGATGGGAAAAAGATGTTTTCTGGAAATACTGGAGTAATTAGAACTCATGTACCTCAGCATGACTTCTGGAAGAGCCATTTTGTCCCCTCTCTAGTGAAAGCATCACTGCAGAGGAGAGCCTCTGACATCACAGGGATCCGTCTGCAAGTCCAGACTGGGCACTACAAGCTTCCCTGAGAAAGAGGCAAACACTTGTACTGGAAAGGTAAGAACTTGGGAACTCAAGTGTGTGTGTCCCAAGGTTTATATCAAACCTCTCAGGGCTTACTGGCATTGCAGGGACAGTTCCTCTTACAACATCTCTCAAGTTTCCCCTACCTCTAGCCTTGTCTACACGTAGTATTCTCCAACACCATTATGAAGTGGGGTGGCTGTGTGGGGGGTGCTGCCACTTGCCCAACCGTGCTATTCTCAGTGTGCATTCAGGTCAGGCCCCATATGTGTCTCCCACTGCCTCTTCACCTGTCTGTGCTCAGAAGAGATGCTCTCCCTCACTGGGAAGGAGCTGAATAAAGCAACACAGAGACCATGTGCTGCAAAACCTTTATACCAATCTTGAGTGCAATTGACAGTGCAGTAAGAAAAGTTCTTTTCCACAGGGTGGGTCCTGTCACTTGCGGTGACAGAAGGGAAAGATTCTGGTCACATCATATCTCACTGCAGTACAGTACATCTCTCATGCTGGCCTTTCTTGTATGCAGGAACAATGTCATATGCTCACGTAAGAGGTGATTCTGCTACAAAATTTTCTCTTAGCGGGGCACAGATCATAACTCTGTGATTCCTTACAGTAATGAGATGATTGTGATGTTTAACTCAATTTCTTTGATGCAATTTATCAACTTTGCATTTTGCTTGGGAACATGTTTGAGAAAAAGACATGGACCAAATCCCTAAGGAAGACATCATTTTTTAAAATGGCTTCTACAATGAAAATGATAATTATCTACATTTAAAGTCTTTAATGGAGAGCCTGTGTTAATCAGGGTCTAACACAACAATGAGATGTATAAGGGAAGTTTGTGCAGAGTTGTGCCCATTCACTATCAAATGACTCAGTTGAAACTGAACACTACTATTAAAGGGTTAGCATGGCCATGCTGGTGCAAATAAAATTCAGGGCCAGTGTTGAACTTGATAGAAGAGATCGCTTTGTCACTGGTGATTCCTCAAGGGTTGGTACTGGGGCTGGTCATGCTTGACGTCTTCTTCAGTGACCTGATACCAGGCTGGGAGGAATAGCTGACACACCAGAAATCTGTGCTGCCATTTAGTGGGACTTGGATAGGCTGGATAGTTGGGCAGAGGGGAACCTGATGAGGTTTAACAAGGACAAGTGCAAAGTCCTATACCAGGGGAGGAATAACCGCATGCATCAGTACAGGTTAGGGGCTAACCTGCTAGAAGGGAACTCTGTAGAGAAGAATCTGGGTGATTTGGTGGACAATGACCCACCAGGTCTTGTGCGACCTGATGTAGGGAACCTGCTTTGGCAGGGGGTTGGACTTGACAATCTCTGGAGGTCCCTTGTAACCCCTATGATTCTGTTATTCTGTGGGAGTCCTGGGGAGGGATGCACAGTGGCAGCATCAGTGGCTGTAACAGGTTGGCCATGAGACAGCAGCATGCCCTTGTGGCCAAGGCCATTGTTATCCTGGTGTGCATTAAAAAGTGTGGTCAGTAGGTCAAGGGATCCTCCACTTCTCCTCTGCTCTGGTGAGGCCACATCTGGAGTACTGAGTCCAGTTCTGGGCTCCCCAGTTCAAAATAGGGAACTTCTAGAGAGAATCTAGCAGAGGGCTATAAGAGTATCTGAAGCATCTCCCTTATGAAGTGACTGGGTGACAGGTGACAGGACAAGGGGAAATGGTCTCAAGTTGCACCAGGAGAGCTTTAGTTTGGATATCAGGAAAAACTTCTTAACAGGAAGGGTTGTTAAGCACTGGAATAGGTTCCCCAGGCAGGTGATTGAGTCACCATCCCTGAAAGTGTTTAAAAATCATTTGGATGTGGTGCTCAGGGATGTGATTTAGTGGAAGGTAGAGTAATATGGTCAGGTTGTATTTGGACCTTGATGATCTTTAAGGTCTTTTTCAATCTGAGCAATTCTATGATTCTATGAGGAAAGGCTGAGAGACCTGGGAGAGACTGGGAATATTTAGCCTGGAGAAGACTGTGTGGGGATCTTATCAGTGCATATAAACATCTAACAAGAGGGAGTCAAGTGGATGGGGACAGGCTCTTTTCAGTGGTGCCCAGCGACAGAACAAGGGGCACTGGGCACAAAATGGAATGTGAGAAGTTCCATATGAACATGAGGAAGAACTTCTTTATTCTGAGGGTGACAGAGCACTGGAACAGGCTGCCCAGAGAGGCTGTGGATTCTCCTTTTCTGAAAATATCAAAAACTGACTGTAGGGAACCTGCTCCAGTAAAGGATTGGACCAGATGATCTCCAGAGGTCCCTTCCAACTCCCACAGTTTTGTTATTCTATGAAAATAACTTTTCTTGATCAAAATGCTGACCCAATGAGACACACCACTAGGAAAAGTTGCATGATGTATTGCCTCACAAAGCACAGGAAAAATGCAACTATCACTTGGTATTCGCAGAAGATATGAACCATGATTGTGATATTCATTACCAATAAGTCTCAGTACCTTTCACCGCATTTACTTTTTTGATAACATTTCTTAATTGTGGAAGTGAATGCAAAAGTTTAGCCAAGGATACTGTATGCAATTAATTTAATAGCATTGCAGAATAACAAATCCACTCTTTTAAAACATGATTAATCAATATGTCTCTTGAACTGAGAAGAAACCTATACAGTCACATAAAACAAAATCTTCCACAAGAGCAAGTTTAAAAGTAGAACATGTATCTTCAAGCTTGCCATAGTCGAAGGCCTGTTTCGATAAATAAAAAACAAAGATCAGAAACTAGACTCTGGTCATTAAATGGGGGAAAAAAATCTTTAAAACAATTCCCTGAGAATCAAGATTCAGCAACAACTACTGACAGATATATATTTTTTTTTGTTACACTGCAAAAGATTACAGCACGTTCTCTCCATTCAAAGATCAAATAGGAAGAGTAAAGGCCACAGTTTTTGTTCACTTTGCACACTTTCCGGATTTATCCATTTTTCAGGGGTGTTAAATCCCAGCAACTTTCAGCACCGAAGCTAACCTAGACAGGAGAAGTGAAGGCTGTTAGAAAAGGATTAATCCATGTGTTGAGTGTGCTTGATCAGAATGGGTGTTGTTTCTTTCCTTGTGTTCATTTGTATAAATCTGACTTCCTAACCACTAAGCTATGGCAGCATTCTGGAAATATCCACCCTTAACAGAGACACGCATACAGAATACACAGTCACTACCAAAATACACTACTCACTCAAGTAACTTGCAGTCTAAGCAGAAAAAAGGGATAGAGCAGAAAAGTGGAACAACTGTTAAGGCTGAAATAATAAATTGTAATACTCAGAATGAGATTTTATGGCCCATGATATTGTTGAAAGCTCTATATAGCATAGCTTTATGGATGCATCATTCCTCAGCACACAGAATTAAAGTGCAATAAACATGGAATTTGGTACAACTATTTGGTACAGTAGAAAATCTACTTTGTTTTGTATTTCATTCACCTTAAGAAAATGGCAATCCAGGGTCAGTTTGCACTGATCCAGAAAAACTTATCATGATCTGAATTCTTCATCTTGTGAAAGGGTTTTT